CGGGAAAATGTATCCAACAAAATTAATTATCGTGAGAGGCCTACACATGAAACACACACACAAACACACTTACTCCAAACTGCCAAATATATTAATTAACACGCTCTCACTCTCATATACTCTTTGACTCTATTTTGGCCTAGTAGAACAATAAGTAGCACACTTTTACTTTTGTATAATTTCTACTGGATTTTAGATCTGCGCATGCGCAATACGGGTCGGGGACTCGGGGATTGACCAACCGGCTTCCACTGCTCTGCTCTGTTAACGTTGTTAAGAGTGGTGGGGGCGGATCGACAGCTTGAGCAGCTGTCAACTCAACATTGTAAATAACCAACCAAAAACGATCGCCGGTTCATCTTGTTTTTAGCGTGAGAATAGTTTGGGCAGCGTGAGAGCGTGAGATTGAGAGTGAAAGCGTGTGTCACACGCCAGATGCGTGAGAGTTGGTAACCCTGGTTACAGCGGCATTTACCGACCGCTGCAGTGCTGCTCTTCCACCGGAGGTTATTCTCCCGTTAACTCACAGCAGCGGCCGCTGTAAAGTATTCACTGTCTGACTGTCACACAAGCAGCTGATAAATATTCCCAATTCCCCATAAGTGAATGTGTTTCAGTCTGAATTGACGCTGTTTGGCATCACAATGCTGTTATGAAAGTTTCTCTGGTATAAAATGGGTGATGATAGCATAGCAACCGAAGCTAAACTGACTAGGCTACTTGTAGCTTGTTGCTATAACTTGTGGCATAGGCTAAGCCGTTTTCTACAGGAACATTTTACCGGCGTATTTTTCATTATGATACTACTTGTGATAGTCGGATATGACAACCTGTGCAGCCCATACTGATTCCATCCGATAGCTGCTATAATACAAAACAAAACGTCTGCCCCTTCCACAATGATCAATAACAGCGAACGGATGGTCAAATAAACAGAATCACACAAAGCCTGGTTAGTGTTGCCTGACTTTATAAAGTGTGTTTTTTTTACAAGTGTGTGGTTGCGTTCTAGTCACTTTGCTCAGCGCTACTGCTTGTTTAAACTTTTATTTGCCGTAGGCTACTCTCCATAAACTGTTAGTTCAGGTTAATCTCGCCCCCCTCCGACGTAAGCGTGACGTATGCGGTTCTTGCCTAGACCGACACTTTTTTCGAGCTTGGTAAGAACTGGTTTTCGGGGAAAAGAGCCGTCTGCTGACTCATATTGACTCAAAAATGGATCCCATTCAAAGTAGCTTGAGCAGGATACACAATTCCCTGTCTAGTCTGGGAGACCAGGTCAATTCGTTAGAGCAGCGTGTCGGGGCTAATGAGGACAATGTACTCGGGCTGCACGGTATTGAAAAAAACTGACATCGCGATATATATTGCGGTTTTTTTAACCTGTTAAACCCCAAAGTCCCGGCGGGTACTTTACTTTTTTTTCTCACGACAGTGTCTCAGGGGATCGTAATATTTAAGAACCTATTAATGTGTTATACCAGATTAACGGAAATAATCTCAGCTAACTGACGATACAAACCATTTTTTACCAAAACAAAACACAAGTCTCATAAGAAGCATCTAAATGACCGAAAAATGCTAACGCACTTTGGCACAGAACTCAAGATAAAAGTACCCTTATTATTACTTATTGTAGCTGCACTTACAAGATATCCGATTAAAGCTGAGGTTCTACAGATTATTTAGGTATATAGTATCATCACTGAGTGATCTGAACTCGGACAGGGGAAGCAAACACAGACATCACAACACGTACCTTTACGTAGCTTCTAGGGGAGATGTCTCACCGTAGCTGTCAATCTGATCAAAAGACGTGTTCAATGGCATTAAAACGAGAAAGAAAAAACGCGGCTGAATCGGTTAATCCATAGGTTTTTAACGTCTATGTATAAAAAAATGATTTAATTTATAATCAATAATTCCATTTTTATGTAAATATCGCAGAGCAAAAGTTAGCTGCTAATGGTAGCCACCAGAGTGGCTGCTGCTTCCGGGCTATGCTATGCTATAAGAGGGTCAGGACTGGAGTTCACGTAAACTTGTTGCCAGCAACCCAGTATAGATCATTTGGGCGAAGGGGGTGGAAAAGGAGGGGTACACTCATTAAGTTGTGTGACAGAGACTGTTCTGTCATCACCTCTAATGAGAAGAAGTAACTACAGATGGACGCTTGCGCTCATCAGACACACACCAAAAACAACATTCCTCCAAATGGATATTTGTCACCTTCCTTTAGTTAGAATTGTCATGGTTAAAAGGAACCGATATCCACTGTTGACAGGAAACAGGAAACATTGATCTCTTTGTTTACCAAGTCTTATTGATCCATCCTTTCAACCAAACCATACACATGTACACACACCACTGATTGTAGGGTGGATCAGTTTTAAGGTCTGTGGTTGGAGTGTCCTTGGGAAATCAATCAAATTGTATTTATACAGACTAATATCACAAATTACACATTTGTCTAATGAGGCTTTACAGTGTGTACGGCATACCTCGGTGGGGACAAGATGAAACTCCAGAAGACTATAAGACAATCGAAGGTGAAATAAATTGAAGAAACCTCACGGTGAGCAACAGGAGGAGGATTCCTCTCTCAGTACGGACAGACGTGCAGTAGATATTTGTGTATAGTCAACAAAAGAAAAGATAATAAACAACAAATAATGTAAACGTATATAATACATAAGATGGATCCAGAAATATGTCAAAAATCTTTCAAATGTTGCAGAAAAATAAGAATGTGTAGCCTCGAGATAAGCCTGATTAGGGAACTATTTAAGTAAGTAAAAACTTTCTGATAAAGTAGGCCTATCGGCGTTGGTAGCTCCTGTGTTTTGCTTAAACATTATGGTGTTATTAAAGATCGTAACAATATATTGATACTGGTTCACATCATCCACCTTGTCATTGTTCATGACCATTGAGGCTTCACCTGAAACCAATGAAACTCTCCCTGTCGTATTGTAATACTATGTTTGTGGCTGTGGTATTGTGAAGTGTATCTGATGAAGTGCAGTTTGTTCGGACTCTCTTTGGTCTGTCACAAATCACAATCCATAAAATTAGACTTTAAATGAATAAGAGGTACCAGTTTCTTGGGAAAGAGGAAACATCCACAGACAGGATTCTGGCAAAGCTTTGTTTTCTCCACAGGACTGCAAAGGTATCTAACAGGAACAGTTTAGGATCATCCACCATACCTGCTAGCATGGTAAACAAACTGGTTAGTTTTTAGGTTGGTTGTTAAATAAATGTTGATAGAAAGATGACTAAAGATGTTGGAGTGATTGGCCCGTGGTTTTTGAGGGAGCACGCCTTGTTTTTCATAGGAACCGGGATGATTTTTTAGGTCATTAGCTTATAGCATATAGCAGTTAGCTTCTGTTAGCTCCTGCGGTGCTGGAAATTGCTACATTGGCAGTGAAGTGTACAGTTAAACTGCATTTGAATAAATAAGATGGAACAATACACATTGTTAGCGCTCTCATGCTAAGACATTTAAAGTTGAACTCTTTTAAATTGTATTTTTAAATGTATCATTATTTTCTGTTTCCATATACAGTAGAGGAATTGCAGAAAGTTGGATAATTATTGTGATACAGATATAGGTGTTAATTCAAGCTTCTCATAAAGGTATTTTCACCTGACGTGTCTGTGCTATCTATAACAATCAAAAAAATATTGTCATACGAACTTGTTGATTATCATTGTCTAAGTTCATGGTTAATTGTTTTTCAGCCATCAAAAACCTTGTTGGTGGAAGTCTAGCACTGATTATTGTGTGTCCTGCAGCTGCCAGTTGGCCTTCTCAAGGCCTTTTTATAGTGGCTGCCTTCTCAACACTGCAGCACAAATGCTTTCTGGAGCGCTTTATCCTAGAGGGGATAGGGTTACACTTGCGCAGGCACGCACTTAGACACAAATACTCCCACTTTTATTTATGTAAATGTGTCTAATAGTGTTATGGAACATGAAAAGAAACTTTGCTTTTTGTTACAATAGGATGCATCCTAGTGTATTTCTATTCTATTTGGTATAATGTGCAGCAAGATGTTAAAGGTCCCATATTATACTGTTTTTCATCAATATATTATAGGTCTCAGATACAAAACATGTCTCTGAAGTGTTTGGCTTGAAATACCAAACAGATCATTGCAGCATCCCATAGACCCCTCCTAGAGTGCTGATTCTCTGTCTGTTACTTTAGATGAAAATAAGGAGCCCCTCTGAGAGATATTTAGTTAAAAAGAACACAATGGTGCTCTAGGAGGAGATTCAGGTGATAAGGTGGGGGGGGGGGGGGGGGGATTACCTTGGTTGCTGATTGGCTAATGGTTACACAAGCCAAAACATCGTTATGACATCACAAAGTGGCCAAAACCTGATCAGCTTATTTTCAGGCAGGTTTTTATATAAATAGATCAGGACAAAAAGTGAGCGAATCTTTTTTCCGGAAACTTTCAGAATCTCTTTACACAGAGGGGACACATGTTGATGTATAAAATACATGAAAAAGTGGATTTTGCATAATAGGTGACCTTTAAAAAAAATACACAATCCCTAGAAAATATATAAAAAACTGTACACAAACAAAATATATAACAGTGAGAAACACAAACACACACACCCTTGCTGCTCTGGATGTTACTCAAAGCCAAGTTAAGTCAGGGGGAGTCTCCGTGTCTCTCTCTCTCTCTCTCTCCTGAGACAAAGTAGTAATGCTGCGTGTGTGCGTCTCTCTTAGTGTGAAATGGAAACGACAAGACGGATGCTCTGAGTTTCATGTGTGTGTGTGTGTGTGTGACGCTGGATACACAGTGGTGAGGACGCACTTTGGATTTCCTCCCTCTGAGTGCCTCCACTATTTCCGTCTGTCCGACTTCTCCTGTCCTATCTTTTTACGACCACTCCATCTGTGTGTTTGTCTAACAGTCTATTTGTCTGTCTGTCTGCCTGTCTGTGTGTGCGGTACAGAACGAGGTCGAGCAGCTATGACAGCCCCCCTGAGCTTGTCCAGTGGCTTGGAGGTCCTCCTCTCCACCCTGCAGGTAAGGATTGTTTAGTATTCTTTATATTTTTCAATGCTGCACAACTAACCACACGGCTGAGCTGTTGTTGAGTTTTTACTTTCTGAAATTAAACTGTATGTTAACTTTGAATACCTTTTGCTTGTATTGATTTTTCTACCAAATTACTTTCATACACACCATAATTAAGATGACTTTATTGCCATTAAATGTACACAAAATGGAAATGTGTCTTTCTCACCATACACAGCACAACATGAAGTTCACACACAATACACAACAAGTATGCATCTTAAAATCTAAAAGTGGCAGTCATTATAAAAGTGCAAATTGGTCCATTAAAAAAAATTCAAGAAAGAGCATGAAACCCAGTAATATTAACAATAAATACATGCATATACATAACATGAATGATGGTCTTGGTTGTAGAATATCCTAAGAGGCATCCTTAAAGGTTCGGAAAGGGAACTTTTAAATGAAGCATACATGAAATATTTAATTTAATGCAATGCACAGACTTAAGAAACAAGTATTTGTCCTGTATCCACATAAAAGTTTGGAAGCTGTTGCTGCTTCATTTTATTTTAGTATTTCATAATTTGTAATTAAAAGTGGCCATGGGTAGTTTCAAACATAAATGTCACCAGTTGATGCACTGCACCAGAGCTTTAAAGTAATGTGTATCTGCTGTTCCTTGGCAGGTCAAACCGAGTCAGAATACAGTATGTTCACTGTTAATCCTCTAGCATTATAAATAGCAGTAGTAGGAGGACTGGTTATATACGTATAAGTAATACGTTCAAGTACTACAGAAGGAATAATAATGACAGTTAATATTTCCAATCAATCCTCTCTAACTCACTGGCGCATATAATCTTTCTTTAAAAAGCAAGGAATTCTGACTGACTCATGATGGATTTCATTACTGAGAGTATCATGACAGAAGTAACAGCTGTAAGGATGCTGTACAGGTGGTCAGAAATGTCTCTTATAGACAGATAATTCACAGATTAAATTACATTTACCTTCAAGTGAAGAAAGGAGACATATATCTAGAATGTGTGTAAAACAAAAACTATGTACAGTATGTTTGGCTCGAAACCACTGGAGATAAGTGAGTTTTTGTAATTTAGGAAAACCGTGTAGGTGCTAGTTGGTTTATTAGGGCCTGTGTACACATAGTGCCTTTTTCACCTCAAGAAAAAGCATTTCGCCCAGTGTCCTTTTTCTGAGCGCAATGGCGTTTACGAGGTTGAGTTTGTTTTTGGCCCTGTCTGTAGATGGAAATAATAACAACAAAGTCCCAAAAGCTAATTTGTTAGATCAGATCTGTCGGTGGAGACTTGATGATGCTGCCGGTGAATGTTGAACTTTTATCTCCCTACGTGGATCATCCTCCTAACTCTATGGCTGTCAGACTGAACGGTAAAGATCAATCATACAAATTGTAAGAACAAGAATCTTCAGATTGGTGTTCATGGTAAAATAACAATGTCCAACAAAACTATGGAAGCTCATATAGAACAAGGCAAGGGGGCAATGCTAGGTTTCTCTTACAAAAGCAAAAGCAGAAATGTTTGTCAAGTTTCGTTACGTCTTAATGTTTACTGGTCAAACAGGTCAACTTTTTTAGGCAACATCAGTTTTATTAAAGTTTGATTACCCAGTCTGGGACGATAAACAATGTTAGAATCATTCTGCTCTCCTTTTCTTTTGTTTTAAGCTACAACCTGCTTGATTTAACGGCATGTTGAGTAGGTGGAAAGCCTATGTTGTTATGTAAGAGTCTATCTTTAAAGGTTATTCCATGTATCAAACAAACTAGCTGACCAGAGGCGGATATTAAATCCTTCTTTCTGAGTATGAAGTCCAAATCAGCACTTTGCCAAAGTCATGGCAGAAGGAAAGAGCTGTAACACCAGCTTCCAAATTGTCTTGAATATAGGCCAGGGACATCATAATGTGGCAATAAACCTACATGTATTCCATTACAGCTAGAAAGAAATACATGGAGAAATAAAATTATTAAAAGAGTGTAAATACAATCACTTGTCATTTATGATACACATCAAATGTATAGCTTTTGATATGTATGGTAGTACAAACAGGGTTTAAATTGGGATTTCATATGTGGGGGGGCTCATTCAGCCAAAAAAACTATATCCGGTCACAGTGATCTACTATTTTAAAGTAAAGTCAACACATATCGACCCTAAATATAGTCTATATTAAGAACGAGAAAAGTTTTAACATATCGATTTTTGTAAACATATGACAAATGTGCGAGGGTGATGACGTCAGAGCATCGTCCTATGTGCCGGGGCTAGCCCCGGACAGCCCCAGCCCAATTTAACCCCTGAGTACAAACATGAATGTGCTTGATTTGGCCTGCTATGGGTTTCGCTGTATCAAATGGGAATCAAACTTGTACGTACGTTGTATATCAGGTTCTCAGAATTTTGTTTGTGGGTGACACTGGAGCCTTGGTACATGGGGGGATATTTAGACATGAATAATACTATTCCCTCTGGTCTCTCAACAACATTGACTGGTCTTGAAAGAAGCTGTGAGCTTTGATCGCAACTGCACTGAAAGGCGCTGTTCCCAGCAAAAACTGTGAGATGGAACATCGGAAAGGGACCAAGGTGTTTGAGACTTGAACAGTGGTGTAGTGGGGATTTTTTTACTGGGGGGACGCTATTTTAATCAGGTCATCCCAAACAATGCCACACAAGTGCGCACGTGCGCAGTGCACTCACAAAACGGGCAGGCAGGTTCACAGAAACTACCATGCTTAGTCCTACTTTAGTTACTGTACTGCAAAAAGCAGACGTCGCTGCGCTCAACACACACAGACTCAAAACCATGGACACACTGGCACATAAATTACATAAACAATTTATAGGCCTAAATTGCATAATCTACAGTATTGCAACTAAATTGACAGCTCTCTCTCTCTCTCTCTCTCTCTCTCTCTCTCTCTCTCTCTCTCTCTCTCTCTCTCTCTCTCTCTCTCTCTCTCTCTCTCTCTCTCTCTCTCTCTCTCAAAATCTATTTAAAATTCATAACAAACAAACACTTTGCAGCCCAGTTTCCCAGCTTTGCAGTCTATCCACGGGTATGCCTCTTGTTTCCTCTGCCACATCTCCTCCGTCCATACCTCTGGGAAGGTGAGCTTGAGCTAGCCAGGGGAACGTTGCTAGCGCAGCTAACGTTAACGTTAGTGCTAGCATTATCCACGTCTTTAGGCGGCTCTTCTGGTGATGTAGTACTAGCAGCTTCACTTGTAGTTCCGGTGCTGCTAGCCTCTTTCTTCTTGTGAATTATATTCTTTTTAGAAAATAAGTCAAGTAAAAAATGTTTGCCTGCCATTATAGAGCTTTTTCGTTAGTGTTCTTGAGGGATAGAGCTGCCGCAAAACCGGCGGGCGGCGAGCTGTGGGGTCACGAGCGTGATGTGACGAATCATCATTTTTTAAGGAAATCGTTTTTATTTTTTACTATAATTACTGTGAAATGTATTATATTTTTGTCATTATTACAACAAATACACACTTACAACTGATAAGACTGGCAATGATTTTATATTTATTAGACCAGGGGTTCCCAAAGTGGGGGTCGCAAGATGTTTTCAGAATCCTCTTGATGTGACCCCTGAGGTGTTTTAAAAAAATATATATTATTATTTGTATTATTATTAATAATAATAACGTGTGCATAGACATTTTGTATTATGTAAGTCTGTTTAATAGGTAAGCGGGACAAATAAAGGAATTTTGATTCTGACAGATTTACGACAGTCATTTGCAGCTCAAAGGTCACTTTACAGCACCACAGTACATATCAGTAAAACACACATCAACTATACTAGTAGGCCTATAGTTCTTCTGAACAGCTCTTTAATACATTTTTCAAAATGAAACGTTGGTTAATACCAACTAGTGAGAAGGCAGACAGGCCAGCGGAGAAGGCTGCGGAGGAGAGTGGAGAGCCGCCATCACAAAGGCTGTCGACTTCTTGCGCGGGAAGAGGAGGCGGAGGAGGAGGAGGAGGAGGAGGAGGCGGCGGAGGAGGAGGAGGAGGCGACGACGACGACAACCGTAAGGTCAGACAAGCCTTCATTCAAGTGTCGCAAGTATCGAGAGGAATACATCCAGTACGGATTCACATGCCTCATTATCAATGAAGCACAACATCCCCAATGTGTAGTGTGCACTGAGGTTCTTGCACATGAGAGCTTAAAGCCCGTAAAAATGCTCAGACATTTAAACACGAAGCACCCCTCTCTTGCTACTAAACCAGCAGATTTTTTCCGCCGAAAGCAGAGAGAATTGCAAGGCCAAAAGAAAGTTATAACTAACCAAGCAACAATCCCTACCAAGGCTCAAAAGGCATCATATGAGGTGGCATATTTAATTGCACAGGCAAAAAAGCCACACACAATCGGGGAAACCCTAATTAAACCTGCTGCTATCGCTATGAGTAGGGCAATGCATGGGGATAAACAACCCAGTCTCACAAAAAAACGTGTAATAACTACGTTGGTCCACAACGTAGGACGTAGTATATCTACAAAAACGCCTCTGAAATTGTAAGATGCCTACGTTTTTTTTCACCATTCATTCCAATGGCTGGCTTCTATGTCACGTGATCTTCAAATTTCTCCCTGCAGAAAAAAAAACATGACCGACCTTCGTTTTATTCTCGGTGTAAAATGTCTATTTTAAGGTTAGTTTGGCCATTAAAATGCGTTTTGATGTCATTTCATGCAAGAAATATGAGTTGTTATTTAAGATTATGTGTGCAGTGGGTGTACATGATCTTTAGTTTGCGAGTTATTACGAAGATTACTTCAGGAAATTGTGTCCATTCAACGTTTTCATTGTTACCAAGATGGTTGCTAGGGACGCTGCTATCGATATTATTTCTGTTATGTTGTGTAAAATGGTGTTATCTTTATTGCTACCCCCTTCCCCGTCAATGTATAGTGTTGGTCCACAGTGCAAACGTATTAGTTATTAG